CATAAGTCAATATATCGTGCAATAATCGATCAATATACCTCGTTCAATATCTAGTGCATAATTGGATTGGGCACTATCCATACAATATACCGGGCAATAATTGTGCAATATATCTACTTTCATAGCTAGTGACTCAGTGGCATCAGACACTGTCCACAATATATCGGGCAATAATCGATCAATATATCGACTAAATAGCTACTCTGATCAGTGTTTTTCGTCAACCCGATATATCGGGTACGATATCTACTCGCTAGCTATCATACTCGATATAGCTAGCTAATACAATAAAAGTGGTACGGATAGCTAGCTATCACAAGCCGATATTGCCCGATAACATATTTTTATAGCTAGATAATCTCAAAGGCATTTTTTTGCTTGGGCTGACGAGAGCATGCGGATTGCTTGTGTATGCATGTTTTATCTCGTTCCTTAACGTTGTGTCGTCCCGATACCGCAATCTACCTCGACGAATCCAGGAGAAAAACCTGCCACTCATGTGTTTGTTGATGACTTCTTCTCGCTCCTCATAATTCTGGGCTTGTTTATGTCCTGAACAAATAACATGCAGCTAAAAAAGATTAGACTTTTCTCTATCACTCTACCTAACTGCCATTCTCTAACCGAACATGCATCTTCCAAAAATTCAAAATTACACACGATCTTGTATATTTTTTCATGTTCACCCCCAATATCTTGTTTAAACTTATCCAATACTTCGCACGTTAACTCCGGCATGTAATGGACAAATTTTCTCATTGGGGTATGGACCACTTCCCCCTTAATCTGGGCATTTCTCATCAATTTATGCCATATCTGATCATGTTCTGGCAATAGTAGCGTACGAACAAAGGCAAAATTTTTTGACTTAATGGCGACTTCAAGACAATTGTGACCGTATCCATCACGCGCAAGTAAATTAACTTCGTATTTCATCAACGTGTTTAAAACTTTCACGGACGGATGTTCCGCCACCTTCTCCGTATCGTTGTTGTCGTCTTGTTTTATTTGTGACAATGTGGCTGCGCAATGTAACGGCGCTGAATCATTAACGTCACGAGCGTCAATATCAGCGTTATTGTCGAGTAATAAATTCACAATTTCAGCATGACCTGAATGTAGAACATTATGACATCAAGCCTACGCGCTAGATC